GGTGCTGAGGGGAGGGCGGTGGCGCGCGGTGGGGCGGGACGGGTCGTGTGGGAAGTGGCGGGTCCGCCGCGCCGCGGGGCGCCCGCGGCTCCGTCCTGCTAAAGGGTTCGGCAGGCGAGGCCTGGAGCCCGAGGCAGCTCCCCGGGGACGCTGCGTGGAGCCGGGGCTTGGGCAGGGCGGCTCCGCAGGGGCCATGTGGCCGCAGCCGCCCTGACCTGTGGATGTTTCACGGAAAGTGCTTGTCACTCCCTAGCGGATATATTTTTTTATTTTTTTATATTTTTTATCTCTCAGCACTCCGAAAGCTCCAGTTTATTTCTTTGGAATTAATACTGTGGGATTTGGTTGCTGTAGAAGGGCGTTTGTTTTTTAAGTGATAGTCTCCAGCCAGTTCTAGAATGATTTCCTCATCCCCTCCACCCCCCCCCAGTATCTTGTCATGTTATCCTATTATTAGATTATTTTTTTCTCCCTATTTGTTTGCAGTTCATCTGCCAACAGCTGTTACGGTTAAACCCCAGTATGGTAAAAACAGCACATGTGTGTTGAAGCGCCTAAAATTACAGACTTTACCAGTCACGCTGTCTCTAATTTTGTTCATAGATCTTTAATTTCAACACTGAAGGAAAAAAGCCCTTCAAAGCACACGTTGTGAAGCATGTCCTGAGAGTGGAGCTGCTGCCCTTGCGTGTGCCGCAGGTGAGAGCTGCCGCCTGGCAGCCGAGCAGCAGGTGACATTTTATGGACCCGTTAGACGCTGCTGACCGCCCCTCGGTCACACCAGCCTGACGTGGCCCTCGTGCCACCCCTGGCGTGACCCAGGCACCTGCCACAGGCTTCAGCACAAAGGAAACGCGCGGCGGCCGCAGAGCCCTCGAACGAGGCTCGAGTGACAATCTCTTTGCCTGAAGCTCGGGGAACTGCAGCGTTGTGAATAGCTGGGTGATGCAGCCTGATAAAATGAACAGTGTACACAGTGGTATGATTCACCTAAAAAAAAAAATCAAAATGTTTGAATATTTTATAATTTTCAGTTTGTCACTTTTCCATTGAAATTTGTAATGCTTTTCAAGTTTAAACGTCTCCTTTATAAATTATTTTGTGATCTTGATATACACACAGTTCAGCTGTCGCGCATTGTTACTTGACAGTTCAAAGATGTTATTATAATCAGTTGTGGGAAAAATCTCATGCTGACAACTGGTGTTTTCAAGACAGTTGAAATGGGGAAAAAACCCTATCTTTAGTCTCTAAGTTGGCACAATCTATCAGGCCTCGCATTGTGGCAAAAATTATGAGCATTTTATCTCTGATGTATTACAGTGCAATGCATAAATAATTTAGTGAAATGTAGCTTTCAAAATCCAGATTCAGTGTGTTACACTATAACTGAAAAACAGTGTATTCTGGGCTGCTGTATTTTATACACACTATGTAAGGCTTAAATACAGATTTTCAAAATACCTTTAATTCAATTAAAAAAAAAAAAAGATAAAAAACCCTTCTGTTTTTTGTTACCTAAGTGTTTTGTTACCTTTTGTTACCTAAGTGGAACAGCTGTTAAAAGTCCTTAAAGAAAAAGACAAGGCTCCCACAATACAGAGGCTTTTTACAAGGAATAATCCCAGGAATGGTGCTGCTCAGTATTTTCATTAATTATAGATAATACATTTTTAATCTATGGTCACTCCAAAGCAGAACAGGTTTGGAAGTGTTTTGGAGGGCAAAATCAGAATCCCAAGCTACCTTCAGAATGCAGATAAAGGGTTGAAATAAACAGAATACAATTTCAGTAAGGTCAGCTGGAACGTATTGCAGGTTTCTAGAATCACTTGCAGAAATACAAGTTTACCGTAGAAGTAGTAGCAGTAGTGTTGGACCCAAATAGCAGCAAGGAAGTTGTGGGTATCTGTTTGTCTTCTTAAGATACGAAGGAAGCTTTTAATAGGCCTAGAAATTTATATAGTGACCTAGATGGTCGAGGAAGGTTATGGAATCTCCCACCAAAAATGATGGAAAAAAACCCCAATCATACGGAAAACTACTAGGACTGACTGGATTGGAACTGAGGCTACCTCAGGGAAGGGGTTAAACATTCCCCTAACATGCCCCAGTCCCTTCGCATGAGCATCTGGTGTTTTGCTGCTAGCACCTTCTCCTGCTCTCCAGGACTAAATCACAGGTTTAGGACCTGAAGAACATCAGTGTGACGGATCCTTGTACTTTTGGTCAGCATAAAACAGTGCTTTGAAGTATCTACTCAGTTGCATCGTGCAGTTGGAATCGTTAGTATGTATGGTAAAGTTAAAACCTTTGCCTGTTTGCTGCTACTGCCATAGCAATCAGAGAAAAACAGTTCTAGCAGAGCATGTGTTCCTGGGTGGTTCCTTTTTATGCTATTGCATTTTTGGATTTTATGATTCAAAGCTCCCCACCACCTCCTGTATCCTCATCTTTCAAACAGCAAAACTTAATGTTCTGTCTTGTCCGATGGAACCAGCTTCTTCTGCAGCTTTTTTTTTCTGTTTCAGTCAAATGGCACAAAAGTTTAATTCAGATATTGCTCTCTTGGAGCAATACAGTTTAGTGACAAAATAACTATTTTGGAATTGCCAAGTGTTTCTTGAAGCCTTGGAGACAAAAAATAGACGACTTTTCACAAACTGAATGACTAAAGATATTTTTATATTCAAAAATACTTTGGAAATGAGGAGAGTAATTATAATACTCTAAGTAACTTCAAAATTTCATTAAGTGTTAGTTCTCGTTTTTTTTTAAAACTCTAACTGTACCCAGTTTTGCAAAGGTCTTTACACACTGCTGCTCTACAAATTGTTTACATTGGAAACAAAGGAGGTCTAAAAAGTCACAGTATTGCATCATTGACAAATGAAGTAAATTTGTAAAAGAACAGCTTACCCAAGAAGGATCAAAATCAAAGCTTTATTAAGTTCCTTCTTTAAACAAGCTGCATTTAATCCCCCTTGTGCACTTGTCATTTCTAAGGCTATTTAAATACTTTTGTTTTACAGGGGTTTTCAGTCTTCAGACCGTCACAAGCAGCAAGTTAGCAGTACACAGAAACAATATGCTTTAACTTTCACCAAGTTCTGTTCCTGCTTCCCAGGGTCTGTGGAAAAGACTGTCAGTAGTTCCCGGTCGGAAAGCACTGGTTTTGCACAAACCCTGAGAAGGAGACAGGTTTCACCAGAGTTTAAGCCTGATGTGCTCTTGCAACATCTCACAATTGAACACAAGTTACCAGTATGATTGGTGTAATTATTTTGCATTATCTGTTTCAAAAAGGGATCAGATTTTCAATTTTCAACTAATGTAGGTCTAATTAAGGCTATTTTGGTATATTTGATATTAAAATACTATCTGGGAGTCCTTTTCATGAAATCCCATCAGAATTAACATTTTCAAAAATGAAAACATTTAAGATTGGTGTTTGAGTTGCAGTGCTGATGCAGCGGTTGGTTCAGTGTTTTCTTCGGGAGCCTCATCACGTCAGAATAGTGTCATCTATCTGTTCATCAGAGTCAGCCTGGCTCGCCAGCTTCTTCAGAGATCTCCGGCAGCTTTCGTTGAGAAGCTCCAAGCTGGCAGCATCTAGAATCCGGGAAACGGACTGTGGAAGGAAGTTACACCAGTTACCAAGGTCCTCGTGATACATCATTCAAAACAGGACAATTTAAATGGCTTATAGAGAAGATTTAACCGCAAACTTACAAACATACCAAAACCTTTCATGTAATTTTATGATTTCAGATAATAAAAACTATACAAAAACATAGCTAGGACTTAGAAGAGGAGTCTGGATATTGACCTACTTTGGAGCATCCCATCCATCCTCAAATGCTGTAACACCACTAATGCTGCAGCAAGATCACACAGCTTAGTGAGATCTAGCTGTTCTGTTACTAGCAGAAACTAGTAATGAGGGTTTGGCTGCAAGCAGGAGCAGCCCAGCCACACGCAGAGCAATGTGACGCAGCCTTCCCCCGGTGGTTACGTGTTCTGACTCATACCTGGAGCACTTCTTCACCCTCTCTCATCTTCAGGAGATTAACAATGGCTTGGTCACTGTAGGCTCTTACACTGGTGTTTTTGTCCTTTGTGTTGTCCAGAAGTGCTTTCAGAATTGGTTTAA